ACTTGCCTTTTCAACTGAAAACCAAATCCTTACCATGCTGAGTTGAGGGGTTGTTTTTATAAAAGCCTTACAGTCACACCACTGCAAAAACAATATTGCTTACCTGACCCAAATGTCTGGGGCCATAATTTAAAATAACCATTTCCTTGCTGGGTATATCAGCCTCTGGGTTCCTGTGCAGAAGGCAGAGACCCTATGTCGTCTCCTGCACCCTGGGTGCCACTGACCCTCACCTTGAGTTGCTTTCTGCTTCCATCCAAAGTTATCTTTTCTGGACGGCCTTCCTCCCTGCCTAGGTCTCTTCAGCAGCTCCTCCCACAGCAAAGCAGACATATCTTCCCCCAGGTGGACACTGAGCTGTCTAGGGATGACTCTGGCAGTGCTGGTGGGACCTGGTGTTATGGAAATTACACAGGCCAGCCACTATAACTGGGTTCAACTAGTTTTCCACTGAACCAATAAGCTGAAAGGCAGACTTCTCTGTAAAAGTACATTTTAAAAGATGCCCTGAGCCGGGCATCTCCCAAGAAAGTCCTTGAACAAAGAAATCCCTGGATGACCTGCTAAAGCAGTATATGGACAAACAGTATCTTTCAAACAATCTTCATGTGTCTTGCTTGGCAAGTAACAGATCGTTTAGGTATTGTACAAGTCTAGAACCTCCAGGTAATATAATATGTTTCTAATTTTCTCTTTGTCATGCTGGCATGTAATCCGTAAAATAGTTTCAGTTGTCAGAGGCAGCTTGGTCCCAAATACACTTGCTGCTGTATTTTATTATAGTAAATAATAACATATTAAAATTGTGGTGAGTCATTCCTCCATACCTCAACAAAACCTGTTACAATCTTTCTCCGTAGTTGCTGAGCTTTCCTCTGGCCTCTGTCTACATTTCTGTAGTTCAGTTCAATTTACCCTTGTCTCCTCACAAGCTCTAATCACATTTATCAGATCTCCAAACACTGTTTGGCAATTACCTGTGTCTGACCAGCATCAATCTGAGGCCAGAAATCTGACCACTGCCTGGCGGTAGGGTCAACTTCATGTTTTTTTCAAATGTCTCATCTTGCTCATGTAGATGGAACAACTCCCTCAGCAGCAGGCCAGCATTGGTCCAGGATGGATCATATCCAGAACAATTAATATAAAATAACAATGCATATCAGCTTGAACCTAGGCATATGATTTCCCCAGGATTCCAGGGGTGATGGGTGTGTATACATGTAACACTTGAGGTATGGGTGGAGCGTTTCACACAAAATACATGCACCCCACCACCACTGCCTCCACTGTGATAGGATTAAGGATAGCGTTAGACACCACAGCGTAAAGCCCAGCAGAAGCGTTGGGGACAGCAGAAATAATTGGTGAAGAACCAGCAAGCAAGAAGGAGGGAGAAGTATAGGGTACTGCTGAGACTGGTTCTGCAGGCATCTTGGTTAAATTACTCACAATTGCTGCAGCTAAAGTTCTTCCACAAGGTTTTCATATTCGTTTTCTACCATCTTCTTCATGGTGGTCATATGCCCAATTATCCCATACATACCAATAATCCGTTTGCTGCAGTTTTTCATTTTCCAAAATTTCCTGTATCATAGCCACCTTTTTAAATTCAAAGGGTCCTTAATGGAGCCATACCCCCGCTCCTCTAAGTGCTGGCCAGTCTTCCTTATGCTATGTTATTGTTGATTTTTTTGGTAGACCTGAAGTGACATCTATTTTCCTTCAGTTTTTTGGTACTTTGGCTAAGGGCATCCCTTTCTCTTTCCTGGGTATGTTCCCCGTAACTGTATGTGAAATTTGTGTGCCTTATGCGGATAAGGCCTCACACACTTCTCCTAGCATGCTTCCAAGGTGGGAGTCAAACCCACCTGGACCCAGAACACCTAGAATTTGGTAGCAGAATTTTAACACTCACTGGTTGGTGCCTCCTATCCCCAAAGTTCCCAGGTGAAGTCACTCAGGGCCAGGAGTTGGACATTTGGAGATGAGAGGATCTGATGGCGGTTGCCTAGAGTCCCACTGCATTGCCAGACTTACGAAAAACTATACATGCCAGCCATCACAGTAGGGTTTTACTCTAGGTTTCTACTGAATTTGTAAGCTGAGAGGTAGATTTCTCTATAAAAGTAATTTTTTATTAATGCAACTACGACTTGAGCTGGGTGCCTCCAAGGGGGAGCATCAAACCAAGAAACCCCATGGCAATTATACCCTTACAATCAAAATTCCTCACCCTTCATGCAGCAGTTCAGATCAGTAGTACTAGGATCTGGGGTCTTCTGTTCTGCTTTGTATCCTTTCACTGCCTCTAGGCAGGACATTTCTTATCTCTAAAGCTGTGCAATTTCTGTTAATGAAAGTTGCTTCTGTATCTTCTGTCTTGACCTGGCTCTGCAGCCTTCTTTTACTTGACTAGATAAAGTTCAACATATCTAGGTGAAAATTCACAGCTTGTGGCCTAAGGCTTCAGCAAATTTAGCTCCTGATGCTCAGCAAGTTACGCTAAACAAGTTCTATATGAGGAGTTCACCAAATTGCACAACACGGGCCAGGTACCTCACTCCTTCTTTCTGCACCTTTGCAAAAGACATGCCCAAAAGCACAGTGGAGGCAGGCTGCCTTCCTTGGGTCCTGGGTGTTTCCTGGAAAGACACAGTAATTCTTAAACAAATGTTAGAGAACAGCAAAAACATGGCAGACCTGAGGAATTGCTGCATGAGGACAGAAGGTTGAGGATCTTACTTCAAGACACATGGCTGGCAAGGAAAGAGCTCATCGGGGTTCAGTGTCCTTCTGTTTCCTCTATGTGTGCTGCACCCCTGGCCACATATTAGTGTCCCTAAATGTTTGGGGCACCCAGTGGAAACATTCTTTGTGACCTCAGATGTCACAAATCAGTCACACAAATTTTCTCACACATTGTGGCAGAGCTAACTTTTTTTTAAATTGGTTTTATTCTCTAGAAATTTGGCTGCCAAGGTTTGGGATGTGATGGGACAGCAACACAATTCTGGTTTGTCAGAAATATAATATACTATCTGATTGAATTTTGCCAGAGGGAACTGGCTCATACTTGCCTGAATGTTTCAAACTAACATTTTCATTGTGTGGGTATTTATCCCCCAGTGGCTTTGCTATTGAGCACTAGTGAAGTATGGCGTACGAACATTTGGATAAAAAAACCCAAAACACCCTCACCTGAGTGCAGCTGGATGCAGTGGGGCTCTGCCAGTGGGCCACAGATGGGGATGTGAGTTATGTCATCCATAATTTATATAGAGACTGACTGTAGGATCCCAGTTCTGGATGTGTGTAGCTTATGAGATGCTACAGGGCATGAATATGACAGCTAAAGCTTTAAAGGTACTGATTTACACTCCTTCCATTGCTACTGCAATGTGACAACATGAATCTGAGACACCTTCTTTAATAATTGACAGGATATGCCGCAGCCCACAAAACATATTTATCTGTCATCTCCCAGTGGGCATTTACTTTAAAAATAAATGTATCCTAGAATCACAGAATGGTTTGTGTTGGAATGGACCTTAGAAACCATCTAGTTTCAACCCCCCTCCATGGGCAGGACACCTTCCACTAGTGTTGCTCAAAGCCCCATCCTGCCTGGCCGTGAACACTGTCAGGGATGGGGCATCCACAACTTCTCTGGGCAACCTGTTCCAGTGCCACACCAACAGGGTTGATTCCTTACTGATTTTTCCTACATTTCCAACCAAAAGTTGTTCATGATTGTGTTTAATTCTGATTTGTTTTCCCAACGGGTGGTGGCAGGGGGTGTTTTACAACCAGGGTGTGGGTCCAGCTGTCACAGAAGCCCCGGAGCCTGTGGGAGCAGAGGGGCCTTTGCTGTGGCTGCCGTGCAGGCATTTGTCATGGCCCAGCTCAAGTGGCTGCTGACTGTTCAGGTGATGCGTTGTGATTTAGATTTGAGTAATAAATGTTTCATTCCCATTTCACTAACTCTTTGAATTTACGAATCTAAGTCTCCTGGTACTTCAGGGGATCAAAACAACCACAGTGTATTCACCCTCCCATCCAGGTTGTGGCATGAGCATCTGTCACCACAAGAGCCCACAGAGGGACTCTACAGCACTTAACTCACTACCCAGTCAGTGGCGTCCATGACTATTCTGCCCTGACCATGAAATTTTGGCTCTTCAGATGAAGAAAAGAGAGCACAAACAGACTGCTACTCTGGAAATGCAATTTAAATTACAGATAAACTGTCTTCAGGCTTGGGGCATGTACGATTTTGGAAATATATTTTAATTTAGGAACCTTAATAAGCAAAGTGATACTTTACTTCCAAAAATATCCCAAAAAGAGGAGAGAAGAAAATAAGAAAATTAATTGTTTTGTTACTTGTATTTTTCTGTTGACTGTACGAACAAACTATTTAGAAGAGTCATTACCTTTTCACAAGTTGCTTAAAAAGGAAGGAAAACTACAATCTGTAGAATGCTTCAAGTTGGCTGTAAATATAGGAAAAATACATGGGGTTCTTCACTATTGTTACTTGTACACTTACCCAAATTGCTATAATTATCATGTTGTCTGTGGTCTTAAATAGGCTCAGAAAGGGAGAATCAAAGAAGCCCACCTCCTCTGATGCATATTTTTAGAAGCATTTGAGAATTCACCAATTTTCAGACTGGAGGGGCAAGTTGGTCAACTGAACTGTCATGTACTATTGTCTCCTGAAAGTGGAAATAGTTTGTGGAATTTATTATACCTTAACCTAATAAGTATCACATGGGCTACTTTTACACTTTATGTACGTTTATTTATATACACACATATATTTAGAAGTGTATGTTTACATATACCTACATATGTAGGCATATGTAAACATACACATATTATTCTATTTTATATTTTTATATTTTAGTAGCTTGTCTGTCTGTATGTATGTACATATATAGTGAAGTAGTGTTATTTTGTTGATATGACTTAACACTTTTTTCCACCTCCTTTAGTGATTGTAACATGAGTTCCTCAAGGATAATGGACCCTAAGGTGCGAGAGACTGAAGGAGATGGAGAGGACACTTCAGGTAGAATTGCACCCTTTCCCAGTGAATGAGAATTGCTGTGATTTCTTGAGCTTCAGTGCTTTAGTTCTAACATAGAAGTGAATCTATTTGTTTAGAGAATGCATTCTGCCTTTCTCTTCTCCCGTTTCCAAGAGCTGTTATATATTTTTAACCTTTGCAGTGGCTTGAAATAAGAATTTTGTAGCATCTTGTGACGAAGTTAACTTTTTTACCCAACAAGATGTGAGAGTAAGTGAAATGCTGACAGGGATGCCTCACAGGGCTGTCATGCCAATTTAAATGGGACAGGCACAAGTTGTTGGAATGTCCTGTGCAAAACACTGATTTAATTTTAAATAGTTTCCTTCACATAGCTTGCAACTGATCCTAATTCAGGTCTTCCCTCACTGAGCAGACTAGAATTGCTTTTCAAGGTTATTGCTTGATTTCTAGTTTAATACTTTGTGATCCATTGAGTCTTATAATTAGCATTCAAAATATTCTGGGATGTGTTATAAAACCAACACTTTAAAAGCATTAGCCTCCCGACACTGCACATTCACCTATGTAAGCCTTTTCTACATTTAAATTGGTTTTGCTAACACTTCCCTTATCACCACTGTTTAGCTTGCTGAACAAAGGCAGTGGGTTTCCAAGTTGTAATTTCGTTTCCATATCCCAGGCTGTTAAGACCAAATTTTTCCTTCACAGTTTAATTACCTGAAGAAGCAAGTAGAAACTCTATTAGGAACGATTCTACACCATCGGTTATTTCTTATGTCTCATAAACATTGCAATCTATTCTTCAAGATAATAGTAATTTCATGCTAACAGGATAGTCTTGAAAGACGTTAATGCAAGAGTGGACTGTATTGCATTTTCCAGGAAGTTTTAAAGGAATTATCATTGTTCCCAAATTTGCACACACTGCTGGTTGCATCTTATTTATGTTTCTTCACTTAGGAAAGAAAAAATCAAAGTTCAAATCTTTCAAAAAGTTTTTCGGTAAAAAGAAAAGGAAAGAGACGCCGTCTTCTGCAAGCAGCAATCTGAAGTTGTGCCAGTCAACAAGTGATGTTGCGGCCTCTCATGAAATGCGCATTAATTATGACTCTGAAGATGAACTTGAGTAAGTCTTTGGACTCTCTCTGGTAAACAAATACAGAATTGCTACAATGTTTGTACATTTAAGACACACCAAAGTTTGCCTCCTCTTGTTCAGCACGCTGAATTTTCAAGCAGTTGCTTTTTCTAGGAAAGTGCAAATTAAAATGGCTGATGCAAGACAAATCAGAAGGTAATTGGATAGGGTGCAGCAAGAAATATGAACTAAAAAACTTTCATTTAATCATAAACAAGGCTTTGGTTATCATTTCAAAAGAACGTCATTCCCATCTTCAGAAATGAGTTAGACACTCAGCTTATATCCTACCAGGGTTGCCTTATGCCCCTAAAATGTAAGTCCTAAGGATTTTTAAAGAAATTTAGTTGCCTAACCATTTACATGAGGTTTTGAAAGCAAGGAAGGAGTAAGGGGATGACTGCAAATGAAGTCAGCAGTAACCAGAGGCTCTGAAGATTTTATTTCCCCTGTTTACATGGGATTCATTCGACCAAAGGACAAATGTCTGCGCCTGAGTTACAGATCCGTGGATTCTTAGATTAGTTTGAGTTGGAAGGGACTTTGAAGATCATCCAGTTTCATCCCCTCTGCCATGGACAGGGATTGTTAGTCACCAGCATTTTATAGTTATCACAGAGAAGTTAACATTAGTAAGAAAGCTTGTATCATCCTTGTGCATGATACAGGCTCCAAGAAGTGCCTATATCTCCCCACTGAATGTAAACAGGAGCCAGAGCTGACCAACTCTGATATAAATACCTGTGGTTTAATGTCTGAAGTTAGACCAGATGAATCCCAGCCTGTGTATCCATCTGCCTCTGAAAATCCTGTCTTCATTCTGGCTTTGCCAAAAATGTTACCCACTATGAAAGGTAATCACGAGTAGCCCAGTCTAAAGTTCAGATGTGTTCCTGGATGGAGAGAGGGACTGAAGAGTCCCTTGGCTGCCTAGAAAGCATGTCCTTGCATTGGTGGATGTTTTGCCTTTCAGAACAAGCCTCCTGGTCCTCAAGCGAGAGACTGCTGTGTTCAGGGATGAGAAAGAAAAACCATCCTGTCCATTTTAAAACATTATACGATGTGGCCACCAGGCAGCGCCAAACAACCAAAAGAAATTATTAACAATTAATTTTTGTTTGTTTGGTTTGGTTTGTTTTGGGGTTTCCTTGGGGGTTTTTTCTTCGCTTTTGTGTCATTGGCAACAGTCGCGTTAGTCCATCTTAAAGCCCCAGGAGTTCTGGGCTGGCAGCATCAAGTGGTCTGTAGTGTTGTTGTTTGACAACATATTAATAAGACATAGATGATGAGATTTTCTTTGACTTGTGAATGACTCCACGAGGTTATGTCCAAGTGAGTACAACCTTTGGCTGTTTTGGCCGTGTTGCTGTGCCCTAAATTTAAGAGTTGTTACATTATTGTTTCTTAATATTTGTTTAGACAGACAAAGACCAGGGAATTCTCTGAAAGGAAGGAAAATTAATTTGAACACTCATAATCTGAGGAGACATCCAGAGTACCTCCTTTGTGCATATGGGAGCTATGCATCTGATAGAAGGAGAAAAGGAGGATAACATGCTGGGATAAATGTGCACTGCTTATCTGGGTGCTGTCACAGTCCTTGTAAAATGTTGGTGAATTGGGCAGCCACTGCAGCCCTGACTGGCACCTACTTTGCAAATTGCTATAGATCTGTCTGACCTTGGATGCATTGCAGAGATCACCTTTTCATTTAGATAAAATGTTCTTCTAATGTCTCTAATGCATTAAGCAGAAGTAGGAAGCTTTCCTTCCTTCTGCAGCAAGAATACAGATCAACTTTTTCCTGCCATTGTTTTATCAAACATATTTATAGCAGCCATTATGAGAATAATGTTACTTTCTGCCAGGTTTGTTTATGTTTGTCTTGAATGTCCCTATGATGGTATCTAAGATCCAAAAATACACAGGGTTTTTGTGTTTTGTTTTGGTTTTTTTTTACGAATGCATGGTCAATTAACTTGACAGTTACATGAACCCAAACAGTTCTGTGTTCTGCACTCTCGTAACAGAAAATCCCAGGGGTCTTGATATAAAGCACAGCACCTTGTAAGGATCTTGTAAGGATTTATGCAAATGATTCTATGTGAGACCTACACTGCCTGAAATATTTTTGCTAATGATCTGTATGGCAGAGAAACATTAAATGATGTACCACATTTAGATAATAAAAGGTACTTATTCTCCCTGTAGTAATGGTCAGTCATTTCCAAGACACGTTCTTACATTAGCGAGAAGTCAGTCCAGGGTCTGGTACAGGCTCATTTATGTGAACTCCTTCGTTTTGCGTCTGGGCTTGCCTGTGGCACTGTCACACCACCCAGCTGCTGGATTCCAGCCAGGGGGCAGTAGCTTTTTCCATAAGATATAACTCATTTTCTGGGGTTAAACTCTCTTTAACCTTGATGCAGTTTGTTAACGTGACTGGTTACAGCATTTGCAAATTTTTTTTTTATTTTTAAACGATGTTACTTAGATTAGCCTGAATATTGTATTCATGGAGAAGTCTGGAATCTTGTTTGCGAAGTGTGCTGTGCACACCTGTCTCCCGCTCCACATTCAACAGACCACCCCAGTTAAAAGAAGTGGTGAAAAATTCTGTATGTTTTCACTCATTTGTTATATTATTCTAGGACACATAAAGGCGTTATGGGAAGCAGAGCTTTGTCACATGATAGCATTTTCATCCTTGAGACTGGGCAAGAGCCTGCAAGGCCAGTAAGAGTGTTTTCTCAAGAAAACATTTCTGACCGGATTAGAGCTTTACAGGTAATTTACACAACATATTTTTTTTCAAATGCAAGAGGTGGAATTTGTTTACAGACTTGATTTTTTGGGGGCTAATATTTGTAGTTGAACATTTGATTAGTAAGTAATATCTGTCTGCAGCTTACGTTGAATGTTACATTTGTTAATTTGACAGCAGTATCATGTTTGACAGCAGTATCTTGGTTCTACTTAAGTGATAGCTAATAATTGGATAGATTGTTGGGCTCCCTAAGAGAATATCTGAAGTCAGATGTCCTGTGCTCTGGATCATTCAATTGTGAAGTTAAAATAACGGTAACTCATTGACCCGAGCTAAAAGATGTTCTGGGAAAACCTCCATCACCATCATATGCTAATGTATTTTATGCCACACTAAAGCTGAAACTCCAGCCTACCATGAAATTGGGACCTCCACCTCCGTTTGGACTTCATGCAAAGCGAACAGAGGATGCTGGGACCAGTTCTGAAGATGATGGATTACCCAGAAGCCCTCCAGAAATGTCTTTGCTCCATGAAAGCCTAAACTCAGGCACAAGAACAAGAGTGAGTGGTTCCAGTGTTGACAAAATCAGTGTTCAATGACCTGTTTTACCTATGTGTGGAAGGCATAATAAGTTATTTGGTTTGCTATATGTATCCCTATTTTATCACTGAACAATTCAGAAATACCTTACTCAAAATGCTCTCTCTTTGTGTAAACAGCTACTTAGAATCGCTGTTCCTGTTAAAATATAAATATCACACCAGAAAATGCAGAACTAGGAAGAAGAGGATGTGTTTGTGTGCATGCATGGGAATGCTGTGGTTTTTATAGGACTACAGAGAGCTGCCAGGCATAAAAAAAAGGCTGAAAAATCTGTATTCCCCCTTGAGTGTGTTGATAAGAGAGCTCTCTAATATTTTTCTAGGTTGTCATTGGAAAGAGACACAAAATAATTTGAAGCTGTTTTTTTTTTAAATGATAGTTTTGTTACACATTATTTCATTCTTTATCTGCATGTCTTACACTTTATGTTTGCAGTGTCCTTGCTAATCTTTAAGACTATAGAGAAAAACAGCTTACATTGTCAGTACCCTTGTGCACTTTGTGTAGATGGTTTCTGCGATTATATCCACCTTGTTTGTCATCTTTTACTGAATCTCTTCCTCATTCCATCCCACAGTTCTTTGACTCTCACAAGCACCTTAGCTCTTTGAGTTTAGCTGGAACAGGCAGTGAAGAAGAAGAACAGGTAACTTCTGCCAATGTATTAAGGGACAAGCAATTACCCATAATAGTTTTTTAAAAGAAATTTAAGACATAAATATTGTTTTGTTGCCTGTTTGTTGCAAAAACCAGCTTTGTACGTATGTAATTGCATATCTGTGTGTTTACTGTGCTTTTTTTTAATGCCTGTCCATCTAACATAAAAGCTGTGATTATTTATCAACATAATTCTGATGCCACGTAATATCCTGCTGATAATAATTAAGATGTCTAGAATAGCTCATATCCTTTAGCAGACTTTACAGATATGATTTAATATCTGAGCCACAGACACTGAAACAGTATCCCCTTTTTTTACAGATGGGAAATTGCAGTAAAGGCTGCATGAGTTACATGCATAGGGTAAGGGAGAAAGCTAATTGAAGAGATGTGAACAAACTCTTGATCATATGAAATCTCCCCAGACCATGTTTTAAGTACAAAGTTACCTTGCACTGATACAGAAAGTGTTTGGCTGATGCTAGTGGCTGACATGACGGTTTATGAGTCTGAGGCTCAGCCTTCAGCAGGATTCTGGCTGTGAATTTTGCTGAAGTGATGTTTTCAGGGCTTGAGTATAGGGGAATAGATGACTTTCTTCAATCAGCAACCAGCCGTTCTGGCTGATTAAAGGGCTGTTTTGAAAAGCTCTGAAAGAGTCCCTTTTAGCTGTCCACAGCTGGAGTCATGGTGGAAACAACACAGGGGGTAGAGGGAAGAGTGTTTTCTAGAAATAGGAGGAAGGGTGAAGGGGAATTGCAGAAGAGAAATAGAGAAGCTAGTCCTGAGCTGACCATTTCTTGGTAATTATGCAAAATGCATTTCAAGGCCAGCTGCAGTAGGGCTCAGTAAAGATTTCTGGCCATACATTTTAGATTTCACACGAATCTGTTTAAAAAACCTGCTAATATGCAGTGAAATTTTAATATTTTTCAAAGAAAAACAACCAAACACATGAAGAAGGTATTTCTTGAAAACTCATTTGGGCTCACTGTAATTTTGTCCAGTCCAGATTCATGTTTGCTAAAGGAGGATTTATGTCTCCCTGTTGTTCCATTAACATGACTTTCTGACTCACTCACTGACTCCTGAGGCATGGTAGTGACTACACAGTTGCTTAGCTTTTTCCATATGCCCCATCACTTAGCTCAGAGCTCTCTTCATCCCAGTCCAGTTGCAGGGTCCAGCCAGAACGTAGCTCCATCTGAAGGCTTTCCTCCCAGACCACAGGAGTGGCATTTCAGAGAGATTAGCCCTCCTGAAAGTCAGAGGAGACCAGTTTGCAGGGCCGAGGAATTTTGCACAATGCAACCCTGAGGTTTTGGACAGCAGTGACACCTTGCTGTATCTTGGAAGCTTTCCTGAATTGAAGAAAGGAGAAAGGAATCATGACTGTCCTGTCTAGGCTTTGGGGTTGGAGCTTCCTCTTGGCCTCCCACCTTGTGCCACCCACTGTGACCAGCTGAAGGACAACTGAGCCATATGCACATGAGATTTGGAGAAAGGGGTCTGCCAGCTGTTTCCTTCTCCAGCAGGCTTTGCCAGAGCCACACTTCATGGGACAGCAACTTCTGCAGCCAGCTCAGAGCTGGCGTTCACTCAGGCTGCTTTAATTTAAGTAAGAAACCAGATTTTGGATTTTCCAGCGTAATGGCCAACACTGAGCACTGCCAATGAGAAGACATGCAAAGTTCTCAAGGAGAAGCAGGAGCCAGAAGAAAGGCAGGCAAATAATGACATGCCTTGAAAGAGAACATGTGCTGCATCTTTATCATGGAGCTGAAATGTCAATGTATTCACAGTTAGGTACTAATGTATAATGCAGCCACGTATCGTTTGTTGTACATTAGTCATGTTTGAGTAGTAGACTGCAGATATTGTAGAGTGAAAATTAATGAGACCATCCATTATTCAACATGGCTGAGCTACTTTTTTTCTTAGATAGAAAGTACGACCAGAAGCTGTGGATCCAGCCTCTGCTAAAATCAATGGGAGTTTTCCCCTGGACATTGAGGAAGCTGTAGCAGGCCCTCACTACACTAGAGTGTCTTGGCCACAGTGCATAGTGCAGAATTCTACTTGCAGAAAACACTTATGCTTCTTCTCTCCCAAAAGAAAACAAACACTAACCTGCTCTCCCCATCTCCAATCTAGCCCCCTTAGTAAAATACCACTTCTAGAGGAAAAAGAAGAAAGAAAAGAATAAGGATGCGTGACAAAGCAGGAAAGCTCCTCGAATTAAATGAATTAGAATTTTAAGCCTACCAAGGAAGTGCTATCACAGTTGTCAGAGGTCATATTAATGCTGTGACAGATAGTTTGGAAATAACATTTTGCCTATTTGCAAAGCTGAAACTTAGAGAAAAGAGAAACCCGTTTTAGAGTAATTTTTCATAAATTTTTCAGTCTCATTTTTGCATCATCCCTGGGACCAGGGTAGTTTTTGATGGAACTCACAGGTAAGCTGGATTACAGCTTCATGAAAGTACTACACCTCTTTCAGCACTCAGGAGCTGTTTCTGGATGGGTTATTTGCCTCAAGTAGGAGTTATCCATCACTTCCTTCCCCAGAATAGTCTACAAATGAAATTTTACATTTCAGGTAAACTGCCTAGTTACTTTGCAGATATATATGTATGAGGTAAAAACACAAGCTGACTTAAGTGTCAGTGCCACTAATGTTTGATTCTTTTGTCTTTAGGAGGTTGTTGTAGAGTTTGAAGGGACCTGATGACATACAGGAAGCTAAAGTTGCTCAGCACAGCACAACTGTGGGTAGGAGCCTAGACACAAATTCCAGAGGACAGACCCAGAAAGGAAAATGGCTCTTTAGGTTCTGTAACAGAGTACTCTTCATAAATCTGTCTTCTAAAACATGCTGGCCATGTATTTGTGTGCTTTAGATCTTTCAGTTAAATGTGACTTGCTCCTTCTCACTGGACAGCATATCATGATATTCAAGGAGCTAAAAATGCAGATTTGCTAACAGTACATCACGTGCAACATTAGGAAATGCAACGTATTTTAAAGGGAAGTCAAAAAGAAAAAGAGGCAAAGTTAAAATACTAATAAACATGGCCATGTATTTGTAGAATTGTTATTTTCATATCTCTGTTTCTTTGCTTGATTCTCTGTTTGGGGACTTTTTTTTTTTCAGGTTACATTGCGTCCTTCTAGAGCTCATTCTACAGATGGTCAGCTGTTCACTAGGCATGGAAGTGCCAAAACTGGATCTCCGCAGACATCTGACAGTACCATCTCACCTACTGCCAATTTTGACACTCCACCTGAACTTTCCGTTTTCTTGGATAATTCTGCTGCTAAACATAAGCTTTTAATAAAACCCCGGAACCAGAGATCCAGTAAAATGAGAAGATTTTCTCAGGTACTTGTGAAAATAAACAGTGTCACCTTTGACACAAACCTAGAAAGTTCTTACTGGACTTTGTATTTCAAACTCTGATATGATAAAGTCAGATTGTGGCATGGATGTTTCATTGGGTTTTCATAGCGATTATCTAATGAGGCTGCATATCTGGAGTAGACGTTAGGAACAGAGTAACTATTATGAGGTTACCTGTTAACTCTTGATGCAGCACTTTGTATAACAATTTCTTCTTAAATTTGCTGTGCAATACAATTTAATATCCTGTTTGTGATGCAGAAGCTGGTCTGACTGCTTAATTTCTTACTGTTTTTTAAATTGTTACAATCAACTTGTGTTCTCTTTCTAGTCTGAAAGATCCTGTAAAATCTTGGGTCTTTGAGAGACTAACTCATGGAAGAGCTGTTTTAACTTCACAAATATAATTGGGCTACTGTTTTCATAAAGTACAAAAAGAGCACGTTTTGACCTATGAATTGGAGCCAGATTCTGTACATAAAAACTGTTCTAAATTCAGACATCTCCCTGCCCCAAAACTTGTGAATCCTTTAAGTGCACTATAGAGAATTAAAGTAAGTTTTCACAGGAAAAAAAACAAAGCAAGCAACCAACCAACCAAACAAAAAAAAAACCTCTAAACAAAACAAACCCACAATGGAAAGCAAAGTGTATACTATTAAAAATGCATATAAATATAGAAACTGTATAGTATTAAAAAAAATTGTTGTTTTAAAGCATACTTTTAAACACCATTTATCTGATTCTTTGTCATATCTTATGACAGGCATAGCTTAGTTTTTCTTCTTTCCCTGTTCTCTTTTATCACTGAAGTTTGCAGCTCTTTTTACAGTATTTGTGCTTTATTGTTCTTGGGGCTTTTCCATGTTTTAAATACAGTAAAAACATTATTTAGCTTGCTTATTACCAGAAATATTATTCCCTCTCTCTCAAAATATGACTTAGTTGATATTCTGTATTTCCAAAAATCCGTGAGTGACCTTTCAGCTCAGTAGAGCACTGCTGTGAGCAACACAATGATAAGGCCTGTTATTTAGAAAAGCATGTAAAGCAATAATTCACTGGTCAAACCTCATCTTCCATTCTAACATTGTTACTGAAATACAATTGCTTTGTCCAGACTGCCTATAAACTGCCAGATGACTGAGCCCTCCTGGTTTTCCATGGAGAGTGTTCACATGTTTTGATAATACAATTTTTAATATTTTCTTGCCCACCTCTGCCTGTGCACCGTGCTTCTGGCTAACTGATGTCTTCTACTTTTATGTTCCTGTTTATATGGATTGTGAATGCAGGCGGCATTGCAACTCTGTTTTTGCAATTCCATTTACAAAACAAGAAGTTGGAAGACCCCTAAAATATCTTCTGAGTGCAGATTTTGTATTCTTAGAATTAGGGCCTACATCCAAAGTATATATTTGCCCAACAAACTACAGTGAACTAGTTAGCTAATACAGGCACCATATGAAAAGGCAGCTTAATACTGTGCTTTCAAATAATCCTGCATATTTAGCCAGTCCTTACCTGAAGTTTAATCACAAGACCTCACGGGTAACTAAGTATGAACTTATAAACTTCTATCAAATAGTCTTGAAAGAAAAAGAAGACTTTTACACAAAGGAAGCAAGGTTGTAATGCCGTATGGCAGTGGGATTAGACACAAGGCTGCCATATGGGGCAGATACTCAGCTGGCATGGATGGGTTTGTTAGGCTTTTGTACTTCCTTCTGTGTACTCTTCCCTCTTCAGAGTCATGCTTTAGGAAGAATAGATTGTTTTATTTTTAATGCTAGTATGGAGTAGCAAAATACAAAGGGACAGATTTTTCTCTTTCAAGTGCTACTTTTTGCCTAAGAGCAACACAACACAGGCAGTATACTCTGGGGAATCAATTGCCAAGGACAGTCCAATGGCCATTGTTTTGATGAACTTCCCATCTACAAAGGCATGAAAGCACTAGTTGTGCAGAAGGAAGTGTCACTCATTGCTTTTATATTGGTTAAATGCATTATTCCAGGATGTGCTTAAGTAAAAAAGCATCCAGTCTGTAGGTTAAGAAAACTGCAAGCTCATCCTTGGAGGCAAGTATTGCCTTCCTCTCTAAGATCTCGGTTGTAAATGTAATGATGATTAAGAAAAAAAGTGAAGCTGTACATGGTGATGGGGCTTTCTGAATTTCTTTCTTGCAGAGGACCCAGTCTGAATCTCTGACTGATTTGAGCTGTACCCCAGAAGAAGAAGAAGAAGAAGAGGATGATGCTGTATTCAAACCCAGCAATCAAGAACTGCCATGGAGCACAGCTGCAACGCAGGATGTGGTTTCCTGGCCAAAGCCCAGAATGCCTGAGGACCTCCCCCCTGCTTTGAGACCAGTGATGACTCAGCCTGCTTCTGAGCCTGCTGCTGTACAGGAAGCCCTGCTTCCAGATAATAAGCCGCAGGACTGCCAACCAATGCTGGAAACAACATGTGAGGAGTCTGAGTCCTCATTGCTGATAGAAGACAAAGAGCCCGCAACTTCTTCCTACTCCAGTCCAGACACAGAAGTACAAAAGCAAGAAGATTCCTCAGAAACAGTGGGTCTGTTGTCTGGGGATGTGAGTGATGTGTCAATCAATATTTTAAATCAAGAAAATAAGGAGCATCCTACTGTGTTTCCAGTAAATAAAATACCATCCGAAGAAAATATTTCAATTAGTAAGAATAGTGTTGTTTGCTTGGGAAGGTCAGAAGAAAATATACAAAAGGATGATCAGGTACCTGTGGAAATGCCCTGTAGGGAAGATGCAAAGAAGGAGTTTACTCTATTGTCAGAGTCCAGCAAGGATTTTTTCGTGGGTTCTTCCCAGCCCACAGACTCATTCCATGTTTCACATCCTGCTTCCTCAGTGTGGATGGGATCATCTACTTCCTGCTCTCTAGAGAAAATAAAGACTGCACAAGAGGCAGCTGCTTCTGGTAAGGAGAACAGTCAGTCACTGGTCCACAAGGAGGAACTATTGGGGAAGAAAGCTGAAAAGGCAGTCAATGAACTCAGTGCCTTCAGAAAGTTTTCTGTTTCCTCTGCACGGGAGAGACCAAGAACCAGAAGCCTACACTTCCCAGAAAGATCAGAGTTGGAAAACCCGTTAAATACTGGATTCTTGCTGTCCAAAGAAAAGGTCTCCTCAAGAAATGAGAAGTGGAAAGAAGACTTGCAGAAGGGATCAGAGCTGGATGAGGAAAAAAGTAGCAACAAAAAGCAGACTTCGCTGGCAGAGTCTGACTCTGAGAGCACAGAACCTACAGAAATTTTGTCTGGTTATGTTTCTCCGGCTGTTGATGCAGTGCTGATGCCAAGCAATTCTTCAGTGGTATCCCAGAATCAGCCAAGCTGTAAAGAAAAAAGTCCTTTTCAAGTGAAACTTAGGTCCACCTCACTGTCCTTGCAATACAGAGACAACTCATCACCAGAATCAAAAGGGACTAAAAGATACAGTGCAGAATTTAATTTAGAAAATGAGGGATTGACTTCTTTTCTAAAAGGTGATAAGGCAGAGATCAAAAAATCGGCCAATACAAATATTGGTGATTCTTTAAATGAAAAGATCAAACCCATAGCAAAGTCCTCTGAACAACTTAGCAGCAAACCTCCATTGCCTAAAAAGCCAGCATTGCAAAACATAACCATCCCAAACACTACTGCAAACAAGGAAAAGCAGGACAAAGCTATGCATTCTCCCAAATCCAGAAGTGAAGACAGAGACTTGGAGAAACAGTCAAATCCTGGTAAAGTGCCTGGTAAGACTCCCAAAATTTTCTAAAATTACCTTCACTTGCAAAGAGTGACCTTATCCCTGAGAGGGTGAGAGGCAGCACTGTTGTGTCAGTCACGATTCCAATGAGCACCAGCTGATGGCTCTGCCTTCAGTGATGTTACTCCATGATTCTCCCTTGCTGAAAAGATTATCAGAAAGACAGCAGGAGAGAAACAGCAGACAGAATAAGATATTTTTGCCTCTGATTTTTGCATTTCAGGGCATTGTTTAAAGGATGTTTAAAGTGACACTCAAAAAATAAAGTACATTAGCAAGTACTGGGAAACGGAAATGCCAGGCCACTAACTGTCCCCATTTAGAGCTGCTGCATGGCACTTCAAAAGCCAGGAGCACATATTACATGTAGTGCCCTGTGTGGGATGAGTGACTCGGACCTCTAGACCTTCTTTTGACCATAGCATTGAGACAGAAATGCAATGAGGCCCGTCTTTGCCTGCTATGATCAACACACCATTTATTTATTGCCTCCTGCGAGCTTTGCTTATTCATTTATCCACCTTTATCATTAGTCATTGCTTGTTTAAAACAAAAATTAATAACCCTGCAGCTTCCTGGAGTTTAAAGCCAGGAGATACCATAAGCTCATGTCTACTGCAGATTTTTAAATTTCACCCTGTTATCTATATTATATAATTGGGTTAGAGTTTTAAAAAAATTCAGTCCTCTGGAGACTGATATATTGTGGGCTATGGGCAGAGAACAGAAAAGACTGGAAGTGGCACTGAGGTCTTTGCAATGACAGTAAACAAATTTGATGAAGCACGCTCAAGCACTTCTAGCAGGAGACCTCTGCTCTTCATTTCAGAGAACAGCCAAGAGAGGAAAAAATAAATCCTTAGGTCTTCTGACATATGGGAGAAAAATATTCCCTGCCCTGGACGTGTCTGGTCATGGGTTTGATATTAAGAAGGTGAGGAGAAGATGCTGGACAAGCTGGACAAGCAAATGACAAGGTTTCTCTGTGCCACTGCAGAGCTCCCCTACTGTGGTTGCTCTTCTCTGTTTGGGGTCATTCTCTGAGCTTTGGAGTTGGGAAGCACTGAGCAGCAGAAGACCTCAGGGCACAAGAGGCCACTTGTCCTGTAGGGTGACAGAAGTCTCTTCCTGGTCTCAGAGACAACCTGCTGCTGCCCTGAGTGGCATCTGATTCCAGCTGTCATCTGCCTCAGCATCACACATGTTTTTGCAAGACTCTGGCTGTGTTTACAGATTCCTGCTCTCCCAGCAGTCATAAAGGAGGGGATTCATTGACATCCACAGCTATATGAGATCCCCACAGCCATTTAGCCAGAGCCTCCCCACATCCTGCATTCAAGGCAGGAGATACATATATATGTTGTGTGTGTAATACATATGTATATAATCCCAGTGCTCCCTTTAAAAGCATTTTCCCCTCTCTGCTGCCCTGACTAGTAGATTATTTGCGGTGATGCCCACATCTCTGATGGATTGAGATTTTGGGGATGGTCATACTGGAAACAAGTGAGGAGGAGACCTAGCACAGTAGGGTTGGTCTGGCAGGGGCTTGAGGAAAGCAGTGGGAGCACCAGTGCTCCTGCACAGAGCCCTTTATCACATTCCCTTTGCTGAGTCCCAGGGTGCCTGCAGATGAGTGGGGCAGGAGACAGTGCTGGGAGAAGGGGAAGAGATGAAACTGGGGAGACATTTCTCCTCCAGACTTTCTCTGTGGCTCCTCAGCCCTAGGGTAAAGGAGACTCCTGCTCCCAGGCTCAGAACTGCCCTCTGCAAAGTAGGATCTGTGGGCAAGAGTCATGCCCTAGTCTCCCTGGTAGGGATGCATGCACCTGGAATTTGAAACAGGGTTAAGAAGCCTGGTTTTGAACATGTATTGAAAGTATTACACCAAATCTATATGGCCTGGTGTTGTTTAACATGATGGTTCAGATGGTCTGTGATGGTAACTCATTTTTTTCCTTATTTACTGCTCCACTGATCTTATTGTATCAACTTAAGCAGAGCTGCTACAGGTTTCCTCCTATCTCCAGCTTCGAGTTGCTTGGTAATAGGTTCTGATATAAAGGCATGCCACGACTCAGAGTTTAATTCTAAATATAAAGCAGTTTGCTCCAAACTGACCTGAGGTCCTTCCTATCCCATGGCAGAACTTTCTCTTTAGACACTGACCAAGCACTACCTTCTACCCACCCCAACCATCTCCTAGTCCTTGAGTTCATCAACCCTTTCAAAGAGCTGTGGTCACCATCAGGAGACACTTTATGCTATCAAGGAGTTTCTTCCCACATTGTGGTAGGAAATCCCTGTGCTGAACAAGAAGACAAGCTGTGACATGGTGATATAAGGGGGTGCAGTTCCCTTCTCTTGTGTACTCATCTAGAAAAGGTTTGCTGTGTCCTGGAGTCAGCAGGAGCAATTTGGTTTATTCATTTCAAGTTTTAGCTTTTTGGCACTCCTGGTACCAAAGGCAACAGGAAGGCTGATGGAATGCTGGCTTACCACCCCAGGTGAAAGCAGCACTCCTGCTCCACGGAGCTTTCTGGGGAACTAGTTGGGGATTGTTTGGCCTCTTTTGGGCTGCAAGGTGGCTCTTTAATGGATGTACGAATATTCTGTGATCAGTCACTCCAGGAGGAGTGATTTTTAAGTTTCTGGAGCTAAAGGCACAAGTCCTTACAAGATTTAAAAGGTTAAACTGTGTTGTTTGTAGTTGACAGATTTTGCTATAAATCCTGTAAAGGGCAGAAACAATTACCGTAGGCTAACAGGTTATTACAAGACCGAAACCATAACCACCTATGTGAATGTGTGTATTAGGATATATAAAAATCAACCACTGAGGAGCTGTAGTGGGGAGACATGCTTTAAACAGAGAAAAGGAGCTCAGGGAAGGATGATGGATGTAACAGTGAATGAAATTGGTGCGCATTGTCTGGTAAATAGAGGCTCTGAAATTACAAGAAAAATGTTTCTATCTACATCAAAAAGACATTGCTTTAATGCTGTCCTGGCTACAGCTAAAAAGAAAGCTGTAGTTTTCTTTTCCTTTCTTTTTTTTTTTTCTTTATTATCCAAAAGAATTTGCTTTCTCAGTTGTGTCAGGCTGTTATGCAACATGGCTGTTTTCCAGCTATGAAATACACTTTGATGCAAACAGTAGTTTCTTATGTAAAAAAGGACTCTCCTGGCATCTCTGGTATAGATCCAATCAAAAGTCAAATACCTCACAGAGCAGCTTAGAGAAGAAGGAAGTGACAGAAATACTTTGCCAAATGTTTTAGAATAGCTTTGTCTGAAATTAAGGAATTGGGTGTGTATACTGAAATGAATGCAAGTAGTGCTTTAATAAACAAAGGGAAATATGTAGGCCAGGATATACTACATGCCATATGCATTTGTAAAGCCCTTCTTAAAATAACTGGTGTTTTATAAATGAGCAAAGATACAACAGTGTGGAATTAAATGTGCATACATAAGCAGTGTTATAAAACAATGATACTTGCATACAGAGGGTGTTATCTCTCTGTGTAAAGTTGTTTGGATTAGTTTTGAGCATGTTTCCTTTCAAAACACTCAGGGAATCACAAGCTAGCTATGCTTGCTTTTAGTGGTTTGACTTTCAAAAGGCCTCTCTGTTCTGCCTCTGACCTTTCACCTTCACAGATACACAGCAAGACTTACCACTCTTTGCAGTACTTGCAGGTATAAGACGTTCTTTTCCAGGTGTGAGATTTTAGCAGAGAGCCTCTGCTATATTGTCTTTGTATACAGAGGCTTTTAGATTTAAAGAAAATGGGTACATATCCGAGGCCATCTCTAAAAAAGACAATCTCAGGGTAGTGTTTGAATATGTTTTTGCTGTGGTTATCCATATAAGCAACACACACACATGGATACATTTGAATACAGAGTATATCTGTCTGTCAATAGACAGAAACCGTTATGTGTTTCTCTTTCACTTTCTCTGTGTTTGCATAAAGTGATGCACAATAACAAGTCAATCACAGATCTCCTTTTGTACATAAAGATTAATGTTTTATCTTCATCTTGTTGTTCACACAACCAGTCTGACACGTCTTACATGATAATATCCAACTATCAATGAGAAGTGTACACATTCATTTCTACAATATTTAGGCAAAAGAAATTTTGTAAGACCAGAACTTTAGTCTGAGGAAAAAAAAAAAAAAAAAAGTTGTCCTACTAAGATACTGAGGGAAACAGATGCCTGCATTAAGTGGGGTTGCAGCACAGGGATTTCCCCCTTTAGGGGACTTCTGAGGCAGCCAGCCCTGCTGCTGTCAGGCCAGTGGAGGAGAGCTCAAGGGATTCTGATGTGCGGGAGGGAATTGAGAAGGTGACAGTGGTTCATTTGGCTCCAGAGTCTATCCTTCATGGTTGGTCTGGAAGCTGTGGAAGTGGTGAAGAACGCAAACAGAACAGCTGTTTTTGTGACTGTTCATGTGTGCTTGGTAGCTGTGGGAAAGACGTGAAGGGAAGGCTTCAGCAGCCTCTGGGTGTGGTTTCCAGTGGCAGCAAAAGACCTCAGTAGTCTACACTAATTGCTGGTTTTAATTCTTGGTGACATTATGCACAGAGTGGCTTGACAAGTTCTGACCTGGTATCTTTCCGTTGTTGGTAACTTAACCCAAGGGGAAGAAGGGGCTTTTCTCTTTCAAAATAGCCTGAGGCCAAGCCAGCTCCAAGGAAACCAGGGAAAGATGCAATCACGAGGTTAAAACTGTGAGTGAATGAGAGAAAAATTGCTGCCAGCAATGTCCTTTATTAGCTTATGAAGTTATTAAGTAACAAGCTGAATAGCACATTGTTTAAAATAACATGTTGTAATAAGAACTGAAGAGTATGATTCAGATTTTAGTTTTACTCAGAAAGTCTCCCAAGCGTAACGCGGAAACAGGAGGCTTGGCCCTGCTTCACGGGAGGAGAAGTGAAACACTGTGGTCTGCTGAACTCACACAGCTTCCGAGAGAGGATGTCACTGCTTGCATTTTGTACTGCGTTACCTCTCCAAGAGTGGCATTGATCAGCTGGGCGCTTCCATGCTTGTTGCTGAGCATGTGACATGCAGCAGAAACACAAATCAAAATTGTCCGTTTGAGTACTTTTGGTTCCACTCCGGCTACGCACTTCCTTAAACACTGTGCTTTGCCACGTGGTGAACCACAAAAGCACATGGGCTATCCCATGACTGGATGAGACTAAAAGAGCTTGTTCAAGGTGATAAGACACTTATGAATGGAGAAGGATGTGCAAGCAGCACTTCTCTTGAGAACAGTCATTTCCTGAGAAAGCTTTTTGTCCTTCGGTGTCTCTTAGGGTACCAAGACCTTCATAGGACAGTCTCAGGTCACCCTAAACTGCCAGCTCATGCTATCAATTGCCATGCTATCTCCTGGATTACTTCACCACCTTTCATCCTTCTGGCTGGAACAATGGTGCATGTATACTGCCAAGAAACCTTATCTAGTTGGAGGTGGGAGGATATAAAGGACCTCTGGGCAATGGGAAAGATAATAAATAGTGAATATGCCTCTTCTACCACTTACAGTAATTCTGGCTGACAGATGAGGTAGCAAATCCTGTGTGGGTTGCATGTGATGATTTTTTTCTGAAGATAAGGCATTTCCTCTGCTTTGCCTGCCTTTCTGGCTTTCTGCAGCAAAGAACCTCACAAAAACAAGGGCAGAACGTAATTGCTTAAAGATACAAGAAAGCCTTTCCCAGATGCAGTTTAGCTCTTGATTCTCTATAGGTGATACTATTCTGTCACGTCCTAAGTCAGGCCCATACAGATATGTATAAAATCTTTTAGATTATGATAAAGAGCTTTTGTTCCCTGCTGTCATGGGGGCATTCTGATACCGTCTCTTATGGGATGATACTTGCCCCTAATTTGGCTGCTTTCTAATTGGCATGACTAGGATGTCTGGCATCTTATCAGAGAGATTTGTCTAAAGAGTAAAGGTGCTTGATGCCTTCGTTAGGGTATCTGCCTTGTTATAATATCAGCCTCCAGACATATCACTGCAGGACTGGAAACCCCATTGTGCCAGGAAGTGCACATTGAAATAATCTCAAGATGAATCCTAAATTCATGAGGATGACAGAGAAATGGAAGCACAGGTAGCAATAAGACCATTACATGTAGTACAGTAAATAGAGCCTGGACATAGCAGTCATTTTGTTGGTATTGATTGTGTGGTGGAAGCAGAGGAGGAAGAATGTTGGTGTTTACAGAAAGTTCCTGTGGTGTGACAGGGAAAATGGGACAAAACACAAAGGGGGATTTGGAGTCACACTGACTAAGATGTACATCACTAACAGCATCAAGGGAGAAACCAGGTTCCCGGTATCTTTGGAAAGTTGGTGGGTGGATTGAAAAGGGCCTTCAGGGTAAAGATGTTGGAGTTTCTGAGGACCAAAACATTACAAATGGTGAAGGAAGGTAAAAAGATGGTTAAATAGGATGCGTGTGGTGGTGTGTACAGCCAGAGAGCTCTTCCTCAGCACTAGACATCACCTTCAGTAGTGGCACTGATCTGCGTACCCTGTAGTGCTTTGGGAACTATGAAGCTTAGCACCTGGTTTTCCTGGTTCTGCCCAAATTGCTCACCACCTTAAAAGGTGCAGATGGGTTTAAGGGCAGGGCCTGCAAGCAAAGGAGGGAATGTGATGGCAGATGCATTAACAGACATCAATTCAACTCTGTGGGTGTGCTTATGAAGATCCTAATGAAGTTTGTCCTACAATACTCAGAGAAGATGGGCTAGCAGTCCTTGAGCTGCTAGTGCTTGTCTTGGAGAACTGTGGAAGTTAAGGGACACTGACTGATGTGTACAAGAAACCATTTCAGGTGAAGTGGCATAGTTCTTCCACTTCAGCTGATGCTAACACCATTTCATCTCAAGTGTCAGTTTTGAGCAGTGTATTTGCAGTAGATTTGAACCAAATTAGGACAATTCCTATAAAAGCAAGAGTGATCTAGAGGATATTAATAATCAGAAAATTAAAAAAAAAATAGGGAAAACATTGTGTTAGTCTTCGAAAATATAACAGGCTGCCGCAAAGAGTCTATGAGTAATCTGCTCGTGTCCATAGTGTGTAGGAGAAGTAGTTAAGGATTTAAATTGCAACAAGGAAGATTTAACTTCCCCAATATGTAAAAAAAAAACAGTAGAAAAAAAAGAGCCATGCCATTGGATAGGTTGCCTAGGGAGATTGAGACCTGTCCTGTCTTTGGAGGGTTAGATAGATACATATTTGTGAGGAAACAGTTTATGTGAAATTGATCATTCAACTGATCTTGCCTTGCAGCTGAAGGATAGACTGCATGACATCTTGAGAACCCTCCCAGCCTCATTCTCTTATCCTGTAAAATGAGACAAAAATGAAGCTAGGAGAGCCATTGAAAGGCAAAAAAAACCACTGATGGGAAAAAGATTATGGGAGGATCAGCTGTTGTCATGTAGAGTTAGGTGAGAGGCAGAGAACTGGAGTAACATGCTGTGCAAAAGGGAGAGAAGCTCCCTCAGTGTTCAGAGGCCCTGCTTTATCTGTGCTGTATTTGAACATCTGGACTTTCTGGCTTGTTTCTTTCAGAGGTTTCACTGCAAGATTTCATGAGGTGAAAGTGAAGGGAAATGCAGGCATCAGCTGGCAAAACATCTTGGGGGTTTTTCTCTCTTTAGCTGACATAGGCTTTACAAAGTTTGCTTGTTCAAATAACTGGTCTGTCTCTGGTGAGATATAACAATGACTTGAGAAAATAACTGAGCAAACTAAGTTTGTGGGCTTTCGTTATGTGCCTGAATTTGCCGACTCCAGCTCTTGGGAAAGCATCATCTCTTTCATCTCCCATGCCTTCATGATGCATTTCAAATGTGCCTTTCTTGATTGGGACCACGTTGCTCCAAACTAGAATGTTACCATCCAGAAATTTGCCTGAGAGCTCCACGGCATCCTGTGGCTGGGAGGCCCAGCTCTATGCCAGCAGAGAAGCTGAGCCGCAAGGGGCTCTGGAGCACTAATCCTTTCTGGGTGGGTCTGCCTCTTCCTGTGTCTCTGAACAGGATGCTGACTACACAACAAGCTTTTCCAAGGGGCGGGACCATGTGCGATTTGAGGATGAGAAGCTCTGAAATAGCCTTCTGTAAATCTTGGGGCATCAGTGAGCAGAAATGGTTGGGAAAGGCTAAATCAATTTTTCTGGATCTAAGGTTGTTAGTACTGTTCTTATTCCTCTTTTAAACTACAAAGAAGCTCCACATTAGTTGGAAAATTCAATTTTGGGTGTGGTGTGAGCCAATAAGAAAGTGGAGAACCTAAAGGATGGAACAAACAGAGCTACTGAGACTCTTCTCTCAATCCAGTTCTGTTCAGTGAATAGACAGGATTTCCCTTCACAGAATATTTGAAAAGAGGGTATTTCACTTCCCCATAGCCCTGGATACTGCATATTCCTGGGTAGCAGTTGTGAGGACAGCAAGGTACCACTTTAGAACCTCTACTCTAGAAAGTGCTTCTCTTTCTTGTCTCACCGAAGTCTCAGTTCTGGTGACTATGATGAAAGTTACTGGCACCAGTGAAAAGCAGGTCAGTGTAAGCAGGGATAAGTCAAAATAAACCTCACAACCAAAGATAAGAAAATCCCATTGTAATTTTAGTGGTATTTCTGTGTAATCAGATGCCACAGACGGCTGTACGCAGTCACCCATGGCTTCTGAAGACACCAGGGTATTCCTAAAGGGGTGGAAGGAAGGCAGGAACCAAACTAAGACATCAGCTGCTGCTGCATAGGCATCAGAATCACAGAACATGCTGAGTTGGAAGGAACCCACAAGAATCATGGAGTCCAACCCTTAGCCCTGCACAGGACCATCCCCAGGAGTCACACCATGTGCCCAAGAGTATCATCCAAACACTTCTTGAACTCTGTCAGGCTTGGTACTGTGACCACTTCCCTGGGGAGCCTGTTCCAGTGCCCAAGCACCCTCTAGGTGAAGAACCTTTTCCTAAAATGCTCCCTAAACCTCCCTTGACACAATTTCAGGCCATTCCCTCGGGTCTTGTCACTGGTCACCACAGAGAAGAGATCAGTTCCTGTCCCTCTTCTGTGCCTCAGAGAAAGTTGCAGACTGCAATGAGGTCTCCCCTCAGTCTCTTCTTCTCCAGAAGAGTAGGAGCTGAGGGCAGCCTCAGTGCAGAAGAAGTTGCCTTTGCAACAGCACAGTCTACCTGTGTCCAGCTTTAAATCAGCATCTGCTAGTCTCTAAGAGGTCATGGAAGAGGGAGGAGAAGGGGAGACCTTGGGAAATGGGTAGATTAGTGAAGTTTGAATCATGTTTGAGCATCTCCCTCACATGAGGGCCGTGACACTGCGATTCCAGCTGAACAAAGATGCAAAGAGCTTTTCACCAGTAGAGTGATAACTTAAACAAGCAAGCACAGGAAAATTGCTCTCTGGAGACAAAACTAAACAGAATTCCTGTTTATCTAGGGTGTTTTCATGTCCTCGGACCAATCAGCATATTGAGCAAGTGTGAGCTGAAGCTGATTACAACTCTTTTTCCTATAACCATGTACATAAATAATTTGTCAACAGAGAAAAGTGTGCCTCCCCCTGTGCCTACTGGAGACTCTGGAAGAGATCCTGACGCTCCATCAGAGCCAGCCTGGATTTCCATTGCAAGGCAAAAGCAGAAGGGCATGCAGCAGGAGAAGGAACTTGACAGAGAAAAGCTTGTGGCTCCGGATATTAAGTCAGATACAGAGAAACAGAATAAAGAAAAGGAACAGACAGAGGTACTTACAGTAAAAATTTTTGATGCTTTTATATCACCTTCCTATAGTATTCTTTGGATCTACTGCTATATTAGCCATCATGCCGTAATGATTACAAATACTTAATCAGTATAACCATAAGTAACAGACAGTGCTCTCAGAAATGTGTTACAGATTCAGAGTTCTCTGATTGTTCAGATATGAAATTGTGTATTTCCAAGAAATCCTGGAACTATGTGAAGTGTGTAAAATTTCTTGGCATATCTACCAGATCTGACGTGTATTGGATGCTAAAATACCCCAAATGAGGTGCTAAACTGTAGTTTCTGATCTTTCTCAAAGCAGAGGGAATATGTTCTCTTTAACTATCCTTCTAAGCACAGCATTTCATTGAACCTCCTCCTCTACCTCCTGACTGATTTAACACTGAATGAACAGCTCGGTCCCAGAAGCTCCTAGGTAACAATTTTTAGAGCCTTGAGAGTTGAAATAGGATAAAAATAACTTTTGTATTTGTAGAGAGTGCCAAGATGTAAATTCTGGTTCCCTGTATATGGATAATTCAGAAGCGCATGTGGTGCCATGGAATATGGTCTGACACTGCCTTTTCAAAGATCCCATGCAAAAGAGGGTGATACCTATAGCAAGTGATCTTCCCAGATGACAAAGCTGTGCTTGGCATGAATCCAGAACACTAATAAGGCTTGCCTAGTACTGGACTCTCACGGAGCAGAGCATGCAACTGCTGCCTGTTTTGCACCCTGCACAAGAGGAGCCTGCACTGATACAGGAACATGTGTGTCCTATACCAGTATAGCGTTCCCAGTGCAAATGGCCTACTTTCTTGCTTCATGGGGTACTATTAAAAACCCAGACAGCTGTCTTATATCTCAGAATAAGAGAAGATTTCTAGATGATGAAAAATAGCAGTGGTTAGATTAACAAGAAATAACGCCTAATAAGATGTCTAGGCAAGCTTATGCACTGCAATAATGCCTAACATCGTTGTAGCACTTAGATACCAAGGGCTTAAATGAACCCAAAATACAGTTTCTATGTCAGAACTAGAAACTCCAGATTTTATCTGGCAATGATTTCTAAAATTCGTGCCATGCATTTTATTTCCCTATAGCAGCTAACAGAGAAACATGCCAAGATGCTCCTGACTGCAGCATATGAGGCTTGGTGCCACTGTGCTACTCCCACTTTCTCCTTCTCCCACATGGCACCAGGCACTATCATTTCAGGATAGTTTTTGACACTGGCAAGAAAATCTATGGGAGGATGTGTTTGATTTCGTTTTTATGAAAAATCCATTTACCATCAGCTGTCCAAAAATACAGTGCCCTTATCCACAAAATCTGGGAGGTGGAAGGGAAACATGAGAGAACGAGTGTGTTTCCAAATCCTGTATATGCTAGTAGAGATGTCCAAAGGACTTGGAATACATTTTGCATTGAAGTCTATAATTACTTCTCATTGATACCATTATGAGTAAGAGATACAGATGGATAGTTTTAATTTGTAGAGTTGAGTATCATGGACATTAACATGAAACTACTGGAACGTTCTGAACAGGTATCAGCCCAAGGGAGAGAACTGGCACCAATGTGTGTTGAACTGTGGCCAGCACCACATCCACTCCCTTAGCTTGTGTTCTTCTCTCTGCATTACTTGGATTTTATCCCTTTCTGTGCCTAGGGGTCAGCAAAGCAACAATGGAGCAAAACATCCCACTTGGCAACTAAAGTCACTTCTGAGGAGCAGAGGAAAGACACAAAGTCTGAAGCGAAGGAGCCTCTGCTGAGAACCAATTCACTGTCGCATTATGTCCCTGGTAGGAAACAAAATGCTTAAAATGTAGGCTGTTATCTCACAACCTTGTCAGAAAAGTGTGCTTGAGTGTGCTGCAAAAGAAGTAGGGGCTAGATCCTAATCTCCTCCTCAGCCCCACATCAGCCAAGGCAGAGAGTTTTCTCAGCTCCAACATCTGGGGGTTTTTTGGGTGGCATATTCTTTTGACCAGTTTGATTACAAACAAAAGAGTAACAAGGAGTAGCCAAAACTCATGTTGAAAGTAAGGTGAATTGAGAATGCTAGGCCATTTTACATGATGAGGACCCAAATGCACCACCCCAGTGTAAAAAGTAAGCAAAAATATTTTCAGTTGCATTCAGTTTTAATGTGGCTTCCTCAGCGAGCTGAAATGATGTGATAACAAACTGTCTGACCATCATTCCTCCTACAATAACTTTGTAAATCTCTTTGGTAAATTAAAATTTGAAAGAAGGGAAGAAGTTTTGAAGGTATAAAATTCCTTTGAGTTGGAAGGAATTCAGAGGTGAATGTTTTTGCTAAAGAAAAGACTCTGTTCTTTGGCCTGGGTGTTAACACAGGGCCCAGCAAGGAATACAGGCCATCATGTTGTGTTTTGGTAAATTTAGGGATCAAAATATATTACTGATGAGAAAAACACTGTATTATTTAGAGCACGAAATGGTAATTTCCTCAATAACTTATTGCAGAAGAAGCTTCCATGTGAAATGAGAAGATATTCTACCACAGGGCAAGGCATGGGAAGTATTTAATAAAAGAGCTCGGGTGTTTAGCTGCACAGCAAGCAAGTGTAAAATGCCCATGTGTTTTATTCACAGTAGCTCCATCACCTGCACTGGTGGATAAGGAGGAAATAGGCCACTTGAAGAAAGCCAGTAATGCTGCTCCAGATGAGCCATCGTGGATGGAACTGGCCAAAAAGAAATCTCAAGCTTGGAGTGATATGCCACAGATTATAAAATAGAATGATGCAAACAAATAGCATCTGTCATAATTAAGTCAACTACTTAACTGAACTTCTACATACCAACTAATCACAGTGAAGAATCTCTTGATACAGAAGAAGGGTTTTATTATACAGCTGTGGAGAAAGTGTGCAATAGGTGCAGTCAAAAAGTTTACCTTCAACTTTCTAGCAATCAGGATTGCAATGGCAATGGATTCCTTCAATTATGCTAAGAACATACTTATACTTCGGAAAATAAAACTTTTGCCTTACGTATTTCCTGCGTTTTCTGCTTTTAATTATGTTTGCATCAAAACAGGATCTTTGTTAAACTTTGCTGAACTTCTGTTGTTGCTGGAAAATTCCATTTCTTACGGTTTTCTCTGTTTACATTTACAAATTGTGCACTAACAGCCTGATTCTGTGGATGTGTTTCACTGGAATCCCCTGACACACTTCCTACCAAATCTGTTAGGCCCATGGAGGTATTCACAAATAGCTGCTAGTGGGTGCTCCACTAGAACATGTTGCCTGAGCGGTGTGTTTGCCTGGCTGAGCCAGTGGTGCAGTTTCTGGGGTTAGGTTACATTTCAGGAGGCACAAATATGCACATTTATGCATGACCACGAATCAAACTTCCTTGTCTCCTTTCCTGAGCAACCTTGGTTGCACGATGTTTGCAAGCAAGCAAGCAGTAAGGAAACTGAACTGCAGTTGGAAGCGCAGCAATGGATTCACAGTTGCTTTCCTACATGAATTTATCTGGTTGTAACTGGCTTTCCTTTTGGTGAAAGCTTTGTGCTCAGTTAGGAGGATGGTATTAGTAGCAATGGACGATATGAATTTAATTAAGAACTGAAAATCCTTGAACTAAAGACCAAACTGAAATGCTGGGAAAGACTGAATTTCATCATGGTGTCAGCTTCACATATCATCCCCTATATAATCTTAATTCTTCTCGTTAAAAATCAGTAACATACAGATAGAATGTCTGTGCTTGACTACCTTTATGTACCTTTCTCATGCTCATTGGCCAGTTTGGGACTCCCATTCATGAAGTCTCCTAGGCTCTTCACTTCCACTTGTTTAACAGGATTGACAATATAAACCATTTGTTGCTGATTGACCGAAGCCACTCTGAACATAATGAAACAGAGAGCTGAGCATGTGAATATCCAACACACTGCTAAAGGTTTTCAGTCAGGTTGTCTGTCATCGTTAAAAACACCAGGAGGGAAAACAAGTTTTCTGTTCGTCAAGGCCTCTGGATAAAGGCAGTCAGGCTGCACCACTGCCGAAATCCACCTGCGTGGCTGCTGGAGGCCTGATGGGGCAGCTGCACAGACCTGCTCCAGCCCATCACCGCAGCTGTCAGTGGTCCCGACCCAAACAGGTTTCTGCCAGCTGTCCCAGGGTTTTCTCCTTCCTGCAGATCACAAAAAGCAGAGTGGGATACCCACTGAAATCAGAAGCGGCAAGACAGCTCTCTCTTAAACAGATCCACGCCAGAAGTAGTAATTTAATTACAAATAGTAATTTAATTACGGGATGTGCAACCTTGGGCTCAATTGTCTGAAGTTTGGTTGAGCAAAAAACTTCCACATCGCTCCCCCATGAGCAAGCATCCTTAATTTCAAGTGACTTTTTTTTTTTTTTTGTGGTATTCAAATCATACTCTAGGACCTACAGTGGAAAAAGGCACATTTTTCAGGTACAGTAAAAGCCATCTTTAACTCCCTTGCCTTTGAAAATACCCTTTCTGTAATAAATAATTAATTAGCATAAAGTGTTATTTTAAGATATGGTATTACCTTTTGTAGCAACCTTGAAAAAAACCAAACAGTGTCTGTATTAAAGGAATATACTATATTAAAAAAGACCAAATTTGTATTCTCTAATTATTGCCATCCCGTGAAAAGAGCACAGTGTTTCCAGGAAATGTAGCTAAAGGTACGGTCTGTCTCCTTACAATTCTCTCCCTGTTTAAAACAATTAAAACTGTGTTGAATCACAACTGAATTCCTGGAGCATGACCTGTGCAGCTGCATGGGGAAGAGTACAAATCTCTGGACTATCTCCTGTTTTCATAGACAGATGCTCAGGAATAATGTAGGTGAAAGGCAGAGGTATCGTGGCAAGCCCTGCACCATCTCAAGGGGAACAAGCCCTGTGTCCAACCCCCTTGCAGACGTGTCAAGGAGAGGAGGTGAATGGGCGACCAGCTCTTCACAGATCACAGCCCTACACCTCATGTGGCATTTGGGATCTAGATTTGGGAGCATGCTGAGGCAGGAAGCATTGGTTGGACATCAGCCTGCATTTTGCTGTTGACTGTGACAGTGTCCAGGTAATGCTGCCTTAGGGTTTCTGGTGGTTCCACTCGCTTCTGTGTTTTCAGTGCCAAGTGGGTGAGAATGACTTCTCTGAGTGGTGACAGCCAGCATTGTGGATTCCTGCAAGCCCATGAGCATCATCCAACCTTCAGGGGAAGGGACTGCAACCCCACAGGCTGCTCAGGCCTACCTGAAACAAACTCAGGATCTTGACCAATTCTGGCGTAATTATGGACCAGTTCAAGTGTCTCAAAATGTGCTTCAGAGGAGAAGTAACATGATGTGCTTCTTTTCACACAATGCAGAGTTACACTGGAACAGATTGCCACAGGAGCTTGCAGACACCATAGGTTTAGTTGACTTCAGGATGCAGATAGGTAAACAAATGGAAGACAAAACCCATTAAGTGCTGCTCAACACAAAAGGCCTTGGCTTGGGATATTGGGAAAGTCTTTGGCAGGCAATGTCACTGGTCCTCTTCATATTCTCTTAGCACTGCCAGTGTGCCTTGCCTTTGTGCAAACAAAGACACTTGGCTACTCAAACCTCTGATATGATGGTCAGGTGAATTTTTATTTTCTCACAGCGTTGGTTTGTACCCAGACTTCTAAGTGAAAGGGTCATGCAGGTAGGACTTGCTGTTGGTGTCTTGTCAACAGGTAAACAGGAAATAGTTTTAGAGCCCATGTATTCTTCGTTGGTCAAAGGGCTCATTTGTGAAAATGGAAAGATGGAAACACAAATAAAGTGCTCTCCTCTGTATGAACAGTGATTTTTGTTTCACATTCAATACCACCAGAAAAGCCTTTCAGATGTGATCAGCTTTCCTGAGGACGTCATCATACTTTTCCAGCTGCGAAGCAATATAACTGACTCAGCTGATCCATTTTGCTCAGGCAGCTGCAATATGTACTCTTGGAATTTAACATCTAATGAAAATAAAATGTAAAAATTCACCCTTTGTTCATGACTCATGCACAAAAACTAACAGAGCTGGAATTACACTCAAAGAACAACAACAAAATGGACTTGAAAAATAGAAGTTTCCTCTCCCAGAAGTGCTGTATGAGACATCCTTGACTTCCTGTTTAACAAGCAAGGTGCCTTCCCAGTGGTGAAGGGCCTCACACAATGCAAATGAAATTGTCTATCAGGCGTCTTTCAGTGCAAAAACTCTAAATTTGATGACTTATGGATTTTACCTGTTGGATTATCCTAAGCAGCTACCTCCTAATGTTTAGTAATTTTAAATGAAAAATTGGTACTAAATCATTTTTAATAGACAGTGAAGTGCAATTATCTTTTAAGGCCAAATATCCCCCTGGCCTTTACTTTGATATGGTGTTTTGCACTGTGGTGCCTTTGACAGTAAAAACATTTACTAAATCTGTTGCATTTTTTCAAGATGAATTTTGTTGCCAGTGAAAATATCCAGCAGCAGCGTAGGAAGCAGCTTGCTGTAATTTTGCAATGCCATTAATTCCCTCTTAGTCTCAAGGAGCACAATAAACTTGCCAAAATGTTTGCTTTGTATACATGATGAGCACTCTGCTGTGGGTAACAATAGTTTAATTACAGGATTTTCTGTTTGTGTTTAGAAGATAGTTTTGTACTGTTACAGAGTCAAAAAAAAAAATCCATTTGTGAACACTGGGCAGTGCTGCACGTTGTTAAAAACCTTAGGGGGGAATATAGCCCTGTGTGCTCCTGCACAGTGTGGCTGCATGGGATTAACTCTTGTAGGAGAAGGCATTTCAAGTTCCAAGAGGGCACAGGTCTCAGGCTCATATACTCTGAATGTTTGCCAAGATGGCAAATAAGTGACAGGAATCATTGAGTTTTTATAGTGTGGGATCATTTATTGTCTGACTTCACCAAATAAATACCACTTAAAGATTTTTTGTGAACTGTTAGTCCCAGATAATTCTCAGCATGATGTTGCACTTTGAAGCTGGGGACTGATGGTACACATATTCACAGACTATTCTGCATAGAAGACTATTCACATCTTCTTCCTTTGCAGTATCTTGCAGCACCTTTGCTGCAGATTCCAACTCTCTATTTACACTGGCTGTATTCCCAGAAGAAAATCACTCTAGCTCACCTATGGCAGCTTAAATGGAGGTCTTTCAGGGCAATGTTGAACTATCTCCCTCTCCAGGATCCCAAATCACTCTCTGATCCCAAACAGTGCTTTGAACTGTTAGGAGTGCAGCTAAGAGAATGTAAGATATTGCTGAAGCAGAGTGATAGAGAGCAATTTTTCTTCCTTCCATCTCACACACCTTCACATTGAGTACTTTCATTGTTGATTTCTTTTTGCTTTGTTTGTTTACTTATACAAATAAGTATGAAATGGTATATGTTTCAGGTTCATAATTCTACTGAAGCCTGTTCAAGGATGCTGAGCCAGATATCGTGGTATCTTAGCACATTGCTGCAAGTAGTTCCCTTTTTTTCCCAAATATGGTTTGATTTCTTAAGTTTAGCATTGACACATAAATTACTACCCTGCCTTTGAGAGTCAGCTCTTCCTGAGAAACCTCTAATTAAAGAAAAAAAAGGAAAAAGAAAGAATTCTCTGTTCACTGTCTACTGAAAAATGGCACTTTGCACCAATGGGTCCTGCAATGATTATCCGTGCAAGGCTTCCACACTGTCACTTGTCACCCATGCTGGCAGCTTTGGGATGACAAAACAAACGGGTCACACATGCTGCTCTTGGGCCAGGCCATGGAAAATTGTGATGCCTTCAGTGATGGTGAGGAGGCAGAGGAACCCAGCAAGCCCCTCCTCTTGCCAACCACCATCTGTGCCACCCTCCCCAACCAGCAGTTGGTACCAGACCATGTTGAGATGAGGCAACAGTATTTACATATTTCTGGGCTCCCTCTCCAGTAACAGGACTGTTTGTGCAAGTGGCAGCCCAAGCTGCTGTAAAGA